AGCCTTTAAACTCTCTCTGAGCCCAGTTCAATGCAATCACATAAGCCTGAGATTCCATCTGACTTTGAAAGCCAAGAAGGGCCAGTCCTCATCAGCTCAGAGAGGCCACCAATGAATACTAACTGCTGCTGTTGGCTATATTTCAGAGGAAGGAACACGTGAAACTTCCTCTGAGTACTCCTTGCCTAAGATGACTCTATGAAATGAATACAGTCAACATGAGTCACCAGGCAACTTAAAGGCAAACACGCACAAGCACTGTGATATATTTTGCTGCTCCAGAACCTTTTGTAATTGTATAGTATTACTACGTTTGGGATTATGGGTGTTTGGTCACAGTCAAATAAAGCAATTGGGCAGCGGCCATCTGGTCATAAAACTGAAAAGGTGGCAATGTTGTAAAGATCTTACACACAAATGCTAGCCAGTTTCTGTTCTTTTGTAGCAAGTTATCTCAAAGCAGCAGAAACAGCTGCTAGAATTTACCAGAGCTTGATGGTGGTGATTGGGCTTCTTCCATTTGTTTTAGTGCTGAATAAAGTTATCCTCACATAGATATGATCTCAAGAATTCACATTCATTCTCCTCTTTCAGATTGTTTACAACATTGCCGTGTTCAGTTGCTCTTAAGAGTGTTGAGGGTATGTTTGAAACTTTATGAGTATATCAGGAGAGATGGACATACAAGATCTATATCAGGCATGGGCAAACTTGGGTCTTCCCAGTGTTTTGGATTCAACTCCCAGAATTTCTAACAGCCTCAGGCCCCTTCCTTTCCCCCCTCAGCTGCTTAAGCGGCTGAGGGGGAAAAGGAAAGGACCTGAGGCTGATAGAAATTCTGGGAGTTGAAGTCCAAAACACCTGGAGGACTCAAGTTTGCCCATGTCTGGTCTATATGCATGCTGATTTAAATTTTCTGAAGAAAGAATAAAGCACAAATTATTGCCTTAAAGCCTAAAAAAACAAAAAAAAAAACACAAGACAAGACAAAACTTTTAAAGAATACCTCAAACCCAAGAATTAAAGAGGGGGAAAAAGTGAAATTCTAAGAATTCATTCTATCAAACTGTCAAATTTGTGTCAGGTTTCAAATCTGATTTAGTGCCGTGTGGATTCAGAACAGATGCATGTGTACTACAACAAATAGTATGAAAAGCAAATTGCTTCCAAAACAGGAACATGAATTAATCCTAAATTGGTAGTTGCAACTCAAAAGCATCAAAGTAACTTTTCCCCACAAGACAAAAAAGTAAGAACTCCCATAGATCAACGAGACTGATTGATAAATGGCAAATAGAGGAAGAAAACGTGGAGGCAGTGACAGACTTTGTATTTCTAGGCGCAGAGATTACTAAGATTACTGCAGATGCAGACTGCAGCCAGGAAATCAGAAGACGTTTACTTCTTGATAAAATAGTGAAGAGTAGAGACATTACACTGGCAATGCAGATCCGCATAGTTTCAGCAATGGTATTCCCCATAGCAACCTATGGATGTGAGAGTGGACCATAAGGAAAACTGAGTGAAGGAAGATAGATGCTTTTGAACTGTGATGTCGGAGGAAAGTTCTGAGAGTACCTTGGACCGCGAGAAGATCAAACCAGTCCATACTCGGGGAAATAATGCCTGGCTGCTCACTGGAGGGAAAGATATTAGAGGCAAAGATGAAGTACTTTGGCCACATAAGGAGAAGACAAGAAAGCTTGAAGAAGATAATGCTGCTGCGGGAAATGGGAGAAAAAAGAAAAAGGGGCCGACCAAGGGCAAGATGGCTGGACGGAATCCTTAAAGTGACTGGCTTGATCTTGAAGAAGCTAGGGGTGATGACAATTGACAGGGAGCTGTGGCGTGGGCTGGTCCATGAGATCACGAAGAGTCAGAAGTGACTGAACAAATAAACAACAACCCATACATTTTATTTCCTGTATCTACCAACTGCTACAATCCAATATAGCATCGAATATATTTATCCTGGTGGCACAGCAGGTTGAACCACTGAGTTTGCTGACTGAAAGGTTGGTGGTTCATATCTAGGGAGCAGGGTGAGCTCCCACTGTTAGACCCAGCTTCTACCAACCTAGCAGTTCAAAATCATGCAAATGTGATTAGATCAATAGCTACTGCTTCTGCGGGAAGGTAATGGTGCTCCATGCAGTCATGCTGGCCACATGACCTTTCAGGTGTCTATGGACAATGTCGGCTCTTCGGTCTAGAAATGGAAATGAGAATCAACCCCTAGAGTTGGACCCAACCAGACTTCATGCCAGGGTAAACCTTCGCTTATTTATTTTATTTATTTACGATATTTATATCTCGCCTTTCTCTACCCGAAGGGGACTTGAGGCAACTTACAGAGAGGCAAAATTTCAATGCCTTAACCTCAGTATACAATTAAAATATTGTTGTTGTTCATTCGTTCAGTTGTTTCCGACTCTTCGTGACTTCATGGACAAGTCCACGCCAGAGCTCCTTGTCGGCCGTCACCACCTCCAGCTCCTTCAAGGTCAATCCAGTCACTTTAAGGATACCATCCATCCATCTTGCCCTTGGTCGGCCCCTCTTCCCTTTTCCTTCAATTTTCCCCAGCATCATTGTCTTCTCTAAGCTTTCCTTTCTTCTCATGATGTGGCCAATTAATTAAAATATTTGTTGTTCATTCGTTCAGTCGTCTCCAACTCTTCGCGACCTCATGGACCAGCCCACGCCAGAGCTCCCTGCTGGCCGTCACCACCCCCAGCTCCTTCAAGGTCAGTCCAGTCACTTCAAGGATGCCATTCATCCATCTTGCCCTTGGTTGGCCCCTCTTCCTTTTACCTTCCACTTTCCCCAGCATAATTGTCTTCTCTAGGCTTTGCTGTCTCCTCATGATCTGGCCAAAGTACTTCAACTTTGTCTCTAGTATCCTTCCCTCCAGTGAGCAGTCGGGCTTTATTTCCTGGAGGATGGACTGGTTGGATCTTCTCGCAGTCCAAGGCACTCTCAGAACTTTCCTCCAACACCACAGCTCAAAAGCATCGATCTTCCTTCGCTCAATATAAATGTAAATATTTAAAATATATTTAAATTAAAAATTAAAAATCAATATTAAATACATTCAAACATTATAAACATTATAATCATTATAAACCACGCAATTCGCAATCATAGTCCAGGTCATGTTTACATCCATTTGAAGTTTTATAAAGATCCTAGTAGAGCTCAGAAGTTAATTAGAAACCAAAGCCATAAACACCCACTACTCTAATCTCCTGCTCACAAGAAGAGAAAGCGCTGTAAAAGAACAACGCTACACACGCCATTGAAGCAGACAGTGTTTGAGGACCGGGACATCCGTAGGGATACCAAGGTGCTTGTCTATAAAGCTATTGTCCTCCCAACCCTGCTCTATGCCTGCAAAACGTGGACTGTCTACAGACGTCACATGTAACTCCTGGAACGATTCCATCAGCGCTGCCTCCGGAAAATCCTGCAAATCTCTTGGGAAGACAAGCGGACAAACGCCAGCGTGCTGGAAGAAGCAAAGACCACCAGCATTGAAGCGATGGTCCTCTGCCATCAACTCCGCCATGTTGTCTGGATGCCTGACCACCGTCTCCCAAAGCAGTTGCTCTACTCCGAACTTAAGAACGGAAAACGGAACGTTGGTGGACAGGAAAAGAGATTTAAAGATGGGCTCATAGTCAACCTTAAAAACTCTGGCATAGACACTGAGAACTGGGAAGCCCTGGCCCTTGAGCGCTCCAGCTGGAGGTCAGCTGTGACCTGCAGTGCTGCAGAATTCGAGGAGGCACAAGTGGAGGGTGAAAGAGAGAAACGTGCCAGGAGGAAGGACCGCCTTCCACCTGGAAACCAATGCCTTCACTGTGGGAGAAGACGCGGGTCAAGAATAGGGCTCCACAGCCACCTACAAACCCACAAAAATAGTCATCAAGGAAGACCATCTTACTCGTCCAACGAGGGATCGCCTAAGTAAATAAGTAAGCATGTTTACAGCCATTTGAAGTTTTATAAAGATGCCCTTAAAGATCCTAGTAGAGCTCAGAAGTCAATTAGAAACCAAAGCCATAAACACAGACTACTCTAATCTCCTGCTCACAAGAAGAGAAAGCGCTGTAAAATAACAAATCGGTCCACACACGCCATTGAACCGAAACAGTCCCAGCAGTTCCTCCCAATTAACTGAGGCGCCTGAGACGCCGTTGATCTACCCAAAAGAGCAAGCCCCTCCCCCTCCAGCCCCCTTCTCCTATGAGGAAAGGCCCACTTTTTTCCCCTTCAGCCAACGAGAGCGCGCGCCTCGGTCGCTCCGCCCACTTTGAGCGACCCCATTGGCTAGCGGCGAGAAGAAAAGGCGGGGCCAAGCTGTTGTTATGATAAAGAGCGGGCCCCGCCCACGCCTCGTGCGCTGAAAACTCGCTCCTCCTCCTTTCCCCCCCTCCTTTTCCCTCCTCCGCCTCGCGCTGCCTTTTAACGGCTTTCAAACCAGGCCACGCCCCCTTTCGAAAAAAAGTTCCTCCCTTTAGGCTCCGCCCACGTTCCCAAACAGAGTTGGAACTACTGAGAAGTTCGGAGGGAAGCCCCGCCCCCTCGAGGGGGGGCCAGACTGAGAAGGACCTCAAGCTCGGAGGGGAAGCCACGCCCCCTTTGCCCTTGAGGGGAGCCAGACTGAGAAGAACCTCAAGCTCGGAGGGAAGCCACGCCCCCTCGAGGGAGGCCAGACTGAGAAGGACCTCAAGCTCGGAGGGGAAGCCACGCCCCCTTAAGGGAAGCCACGCCCCCTTTGCCCTTGAGGGGAACCAGACTGAGAAGGACCTCAAGCTCGGAGGAAAGCCACGCCCCCTTGAGGAAAGCCACGCCCCCTTTGCCCTTGAGGGGAGCCAGACTGAGAAGATCCTCAAGCTCGGAGGGAAGCCACGCCCCCTCGAGGGAGGCCACGCCCCCTTTACCCTCGCGCCTTGTGTGTGTGCGCGTGTGTGTCCTCGCGCTCGCTCTCTCTCCTGAGTGCCCCTCCCCCTTCCCCTTCCCCTCAGTCCGGAGCCCATCTGTTTCTGTGGCGGAGGGTCTGTCTGTCGGAGGGCATTGTCGGGCGGGAGATGGGTACGCGAGGCGGCGGAGGAAGAGGCAGCTGAGGGGAAAAGAGAGGGAGGAAAAGGGCGATGTGCCCCGAAGAGGACGGGGGCTGCGGAGGAGCCTCGCCGGCACTGGACTCTGCCTCTTCGGCCGGCAACGGAGGCCCCGAAGGGACAACATTGGCTGCGGGGCTCCTGAGCGAGCTGCGCTCCTGGTGGGAAGTGCCGGCCATCGCTCACTTCTGCTCCCTCTTCAGGACCGCCTTCCGACTCCCCGACTTCGAGATCGAGGTGAGTTGGGCGCAGGGGGCCCATCTACTCCCATGGCTTGTTGACCCTAACATCTAGGTCAGGCCAATTTGGGCCCTCCCTCCCTCTAAGCCTTTTGGACTCCAACTCCCACCATTCCTAACAGCCTCAGGCCCCTTCCTTTTCCCCCTCAGCCGCTTAAGGAGGGGGAAAAGGAAAGGGCCTGAGGCTGTTAGGAATGGTGGGAGTTGGAGTCCAAAAGGCTTAGGGAGGGAGGGCCCAAATTGGCCCAATATACCGACTTTGAGAGTTCATACAAGAGTTTGGAAGTGACCACCCACTCCAACCCACTTGCATCCAGGGAACGGTCACAAACTGACCCTCCCCATCCAGAAACCTCCCTAGAAGTTTCCCCAACGCACTGGAAGTTTAGCAATAGTATTGTCGAAGGCTTTCATGGCCGGAATCACTGGGTTGTTGTAGGTTTTTTCGGGCTATATGGCCATGGTCTAGAGGCATTCTCTCCTGACGTTTCGCCTGCATCTTTGGCAAGCATCTTTAGCAATAGTGTTTCCAGGCCATTTGAATCCTAGTCTCCAATGCAGCAGAAAAACAAGCTTGCCCGTCTTCCCCCACCACCTACCTCCCCTCTCCTCGATGTGGGACCTCCTTTGAGAAATCCTGGAATCCGCTGGAGGCCCGGATGGTGGTGATGGCACAAAACCTCTCGAGCCCCAGATGGAAGGGCTGGCTTTTTGCGCGCTTTTGCGGGAGTTAGTTGTCGGGTTGGACTGCGTTATTAAATGGCCGGAATCGACTGGTTCTTCCCTTGTGAAGGCGAGGGAAAGAGCCTCTAATGTGTGTATCCCTTTAAAGATGTGTGTATGTTTATCCCCCTTTCCCTCACCCCTAAGAGTGTGTGTATAATAATAATAATAATAATAATAATAATTATTATTATTATTATTATTATTATTATTATTATTATTATCTCCCTTTCCCTCACCCCTAAGGGTATGTGTGTATAATAATAATAATAATAACAACAACTTTATTTATATTCTGCTCTATCTCCCGAAAGGGACTCAGGACAGATTCCAAACATAAAAGGCAAACATTCAATGCCCGAATGCAAAAACAATACATCCATGCTGACAAAATGTATACAACCCAACATATAAATACGAATTTTAACTTTTGGCCAGGATCGACTGGTGTTCTTCCCTTGTAAAGGCGAGGGAAAGAACCTCTAATGTGTGTATCTCTTTAAAGATGTGTGTATGTTTGTTTGTTTGTGTGTGTATCCCCCTTTCCCTCACCCCTAAGGGTGTGTGTGTATAACAACAACAACAACAACAACTTTATTTATATTCTGCTCTATCTCCCGAAAGGGACTTAGGGCGGATTCCAAACATAAAAGGCAAACATTCAATGCCCGAATGCAAAAACAATACATCCATGCTGACAAAATGTATACAACCCAACATATAAATACGAATTTTAACTTAACAAACTAAAATTTTGTAAACTAAAATTTCGGAGGGAAGAATAGTAGAGGCCAAGATGAAGTACTTTGGCCATGTCATGAGAAGAAAGGAAAACTTAGAGAAGGCAATGATGCTGGGGAAAATCAAAGGAAAAAGGAAGAGGGGCCAACCAAGGGCAAGATGGATGGATGGCATCCTTGAAGTGACTGGATTGACCTTGAAGGAGCTGGGAGTGGTGACGGTTGACAGGGAGCTTTGGCCTGGGCTGGTCCATGAGGTCATGAAGAGTCGGAAATGACTGAACAAATGAACAACAGCAAACTAAAATTAAATTAAAAAACACAGGCTGTTATAACAGACATAAGACAAAACACCCAACATCAAATGGAAACGTTGATTTCCCATTTCTTTGGGGCAAATAAATATAATCATTGCTCAAGATATCTATTGAGCTGGTGAGGTATATGTACACATCTCCTGTTCTCCCCATTTTAATTCTGGATTTCGATTTCCCCCGGTGGTGGTGGGATATTGACTGAGGGCCCTTCCATACATCCCGAAGCCCTATATCCCAGAATATCAAGGCAGGAAATCCCACATTATCTAAGTGTGGACTCAGATAACCCAGTTCAAAGCAGATATTGTGGGATTTTCTGCCTTGATGTTCTGGGATATAGGGCTGTGTGGAAGGGCCCTTAGTCTCTAGTTCCCTGAGGGATGCACGTTTTTTTGTGGGGGGGAAGTGCCCACCATCTGCGTGCGACACAATCGCAGTCGTGTGAATCTGCCATCCCGTGTAAATCCCCATTGAATTTGTCGAGGCGGGTCTTGAGCTCGCATTCAGTGCCAGCAACAGCTGAGAAATGCTGGCTCTCTTCTCCCCATCCTTTTAGAGATTGGTGTGAATCGTTTTGGGTCTGGGAGCCTTTACACACACACTTACATACAAGAATAGCAGCAAAGCAGCCTGTCTTGTCTTGGTTTTCAGAAGTTTTACTCAGATTGTTCTTTGGCCAATGGGCTCATCTTGCTGAGCAGAATTGTGTTCAATGTATTGTTGAAGGCTTTCATGGCAGGAATCACTGGGTTGTAAGTTTTTCGGGCTATTTGACCATCTTCCAGAAGCATTCTCTCCTGACATTTCACCTGCATCTGTAGGAGGCATCCTCAGAGGATGTGTGGCTGCCATAGATGCAGGTGAAACATCAGGAGAGAATGCTTCTGGAACATGGCCATACGGCCCGAAAAACTTACAACAACCCAGGATTGTGTTCTTTGCAAACTCAAGGAGTCCTTGCTGATGTCTCAGGGCCCTTCATAGCCCTATATCCCAGAATATCAAGGCAGGAAATCTCACATTATCTGAGTGTGGACTCAGATAACCCAGTTCAAAGTAGATATTGTGGGATTTTCTGCCATGATTTTCTGGGATGTTACGTGGAAGAGCCCTCAGTGTAAATGGTTTCCAATCCTTCTCTACCCAAAGCAGCCCCTTGGACCTGTATGTCCCAGAGGCCTCTTTTGTTACCCGCAGGTCTTGGCCTGGATGAGTCTCTGCTTTTAAAGCCACCCATTTCGCTACTCATTCCACTTTGAAAAGCTTCAGCATTAAGCAAGGAAAAAGAGAGGGCTTTGGATCTTTCTCCCCACACAAGAGCTGTTCCTTCCTATCTCTGTCCTTCTTTCCCCTCTTGACAGCCTAATGCCTTAAAAAGAGTTTGTTTTGCTACCATTATCTTGCTGGGGCAAAGGGAGGGGGGTGCGCCTGTTTTGCTCCTGCCTACTTGCCATGGAGGTGCATGCAGGGCTTTGTGATAATCTGCCTGCCAGTTTTGTGACCATCCAGCAAGATAGTGTGTGAGTTTTCTTCACTGCCACACTTCACTTTCTTTTTTTCTTTATTCTCTGAAATTTAGACCTGTCCTTTTCACAGGATAGCAGTGTGCTTAATAGAAATGAACAATCTGAGTAAAAAGATTCAGAAAGCAATTAATAATGCATTGGCAGGCCTTTTTATTGCTTCAGCTATAGACTTGTCTCTAAGTCTTCGAGTTATGACGGAAACTTAGATTTGCCTCTAAGACTTCGAGTTATGACAGCCTTTTCTTGGAATCCTGGCAGTCTTGCTTCATCCATTCAGTAGATTCATCAATTTTCTGGAAATGGTTGCTCATTTGTTCCAGTGCACATCATCAGAAATAAAATGTTGTGTATGTTGCTGATGTTAAACAGTATAGCTAAAACTGCATGAACTTCATTTCAGAATGTGAAAAAAAGAATGCTAATAACATTAGACAGAAGAACCTGGTGGTGTATTTGTGTTACTGTACCCCAAGCAGACCTCCCAGGGCCTCTGGCTCATACTCCCAAGATCCTAAGCAGCTTAGGCCAATGTGATTAAACCCGGGGTTTACCATCTGTTTATAGCAGATGTAACAACTTTTGTGCTTCTGATGCTCTTTCAAACTTTAAAGTGTACTTGAAAAGCAATTCTTGTCAAGTATGAGAAGCTGGTTTCCTTAGACTCTAGGAGAAAACTATATAAGTGAAATATTAAGTGTTTGAGACATAATGGCCAAGGAAGTGGGGATTGCTTTTCAGCTGCTATTGAGGTGTAAGAACTTGAAAGAGGAATTAAAAGAACATGTGTTGACATGTAAAGATTTTGGCAGCCCATAAGAAACTAGGTTCTTTATAATGAATTGCTACTTTAATATTGTGAACTATCATATATCACTTGGAGCAGTTATTACCCATCCTGATATTATAAAATATGTATGTCTCAGACATCCGTTTGGAATATAGAAAACATGTACTTCTCCCTAAAGGCTGCTTAAAATGGTGGCAGTGCTAGGAGGAGTTTGGCCTTCTGTGACCTATACACGTATCACACTTCACTTAAGACACGAGGAACAATGTAGAGGCTACCTAGACAAAATTGAGTATGGGCTCCATTCCACCCCAAAGTAATAATAAAGCTTGTTCCATTTTAAAGGTATCTGACATTCAGGATGTTAACTGCTGAGTCTTGTCAGACACTGACCATTTATTTAGATAGGGATATTATCCTGCAATTTAATTATGCGTTCATCACTCCATATTGAAATATTGCAAAATCTTATGTAAGATTTGAGGAACTCATTAAATGACTTCTGCTGATGTAGCTTCCACACATTTTGTAGGGCATAAAATAAATCTTGAGTAAATGTTCTTCACCTCTAAACCTTCCCACCCAATCTATCTGGAAAACTTGCTGGTTATCTTTACAGGCATTGCAGTCTATCTTCTAATAAATTTTGCATGGATGGTTAGCCCACATCCCAACAGTAAAGTGTACTTAACATATTTGATGTGGGTTCATGTGTACCATTGTTTTGGGTTGTGACTACAGTGCCTTGTTGACAGTTTTGGATATGAATGTTACAGAAGGGAGGAGACATGTCAGGATTCTTTGTTTTTGTCTTTAAATGTTATCAGCTGGATGTGCTCTAGGGAGGTTAAGAATAGCAGTGTGATGCACAATTTTCAAAGGTGGCCAATGCTCTTTTTCTAAGG